ATCATTGTGGTTTTAATTTGTATTTCCCTGATAATGAGTGATGTTGAGCATTTTTTTCATGTGTCGGTTGGCTGTCTTCTTTGGAGAAGTGTCTATTCATGTCTTTTCCCCATTTCTTCACTGGATTATTTGCTTTTTGGGTGTTGAGTTTGATAAGTTCTTTATAGACCTTGGATACAAACCCTTTATCTGATATGTTGTTTGCAAATATCTTCTCCCATTCTGTTGGTTGCCTTTTAGTTTTGCTGATTGTTTCCTTTGCTGTGCAGAAGTTTTTTATTTTGATGAGGTCCCAATAGTTCATTTTTGTAATTTTTCTTTTTAAAGAAAAAGAAAAAAAACCCCATATGTTACATATTGGTATACAGTTTATACTGACCTCATAAAAATGAATTAAGGGAGTTTTCTGTTTTCTATCTGTGAAGAGATTATGTAGAATTTAATTTATTTCTTCCTTATAAGAGTTTAAAAATTCATTGAGAAGTCATTCTGGTTGGAGTATTTTCTAGGGAAGATTATACTAATGGATTCACTTTTAAAATAGATATAGGGATTTCTGGTAGCAGACAAGATGGAATAGATACTTGTCTCTATTTTATTAAATACAGTGAAAACTCTGGACATTATGTGTAGAGAAAACATAAGAAGACTCTGAAAGATGGAGAGAAAGAGGCCAGCTAGGGACTTTGGGATCTAAGGAAATAAAAAGCAGTGCGTTTCCTGGGTTTTATTTTTGCTTTCTATATATCCCAGACTGAGTGCTAGATAAGCCTACAACTTGGAAACACCAATGGGAACAAACAGAAAAGCACAAGAAAATCTTACTCTAGTGGAACAGAAAGGGGTGGCTTAGCAAGACAAAAAACATAACAGTGGTAATTGCCTATTCCAGCCAAACACGAGAGAAAAATACTACAGCCCTACTTCCCTACTTCAGCACATATCAAGTGGGGAGCCTAGATTTTAACCTTCTTCCATCTGCTCTTTCCCTCCACATAGACTTTCAGAGGAGGATTAGTGGAAAGTCAAGGCTTTTACCACAGCCCTGTAGTAACAAATCTTTCTATCCCCACTGTGTCATAAAGTCCGTGTGAGGAGAGTAAACTTTTGCTGAATCTGGCAAGAACGAGGTGATGATTTCCTTCTGTAAAGGGCGTGGTTTTAGAGGAGTCCTGTTAAAACAGAAGGTCTGAATAAGATCCAGACTCTCATAGTACCTAAAATATCCAGGATACAAATGAATATCACTCCTCATACAAAGAATCAGGTATCTCAATTTAATATAGGACAATCTCCAGATACAACAAAAAATGAACAGACATTGAAATTATTTGACAAGGAATTTAAAGCAGCCATTATAGGGGCGCCTGGGTGGCGCAGTCGGTTAAGCGTCTGACTTCAGCCAGGTCACGATCTCGCGGTCCGTGAGTTCGAGCCCTGCATCAGGCTCTGGGCTGATGGCTCAGAGCCTGGAGCCTGTTTCTGATTCTATGTCTCCCTCTCTCTGCCCCTCCCCTGTTCATGCTCTGTCTCTCTCTGTCCCAAAAATAAATAAACGTTGAAAAAAAAATTTAAAGCAGCAGCCATTATAAAATATCTCAGTGAGCAATTATACACATACACTAAGAACAAATGAAAATATAGAAGACCTAAGCAGAGAACCAAAGTCTCAGGAAAGATGTAGAAAACAACAACAACAACAAATGGAAATTTTAGAACTGAAAAAAAAGCATAATGGAAATAAAAAATTCAGTGAATGGTCTTCACAGCAAAATGGAGGGGGCAACATGTAGATTTGACTTTTGTAATGGGATGTAGAGAGAGGTAATCATCATTAGGAGAGTTAACCCCAGATATTAAGACCCTAGGCATTGCTTGCTATTCTTGTAATGGGGTGTAGTACCTGGCAGGGGACTAAAATAATTTATGGGATTTGAGGAAGAAGCAGACATAGTTCCTGGAATGAGGAGGCCTCAGTTATTAAACGCTGAATTAAATGAAATGAAAAAGTGGGAAGTTGAGATGATAGACTATATCTTGGAAATGCTGAAGAGCAGTACTAGATCATGAAACCCTATAAGTTCATGTTAGTTTCTTCTTACCATATTTGTCCTGGAAAGGGAAGAGGGTTGTAGCTGTAGGTGATATTTATGCAGTGGCTGGGTACATCTGAGACAACAGATATATAATCCTGTATTGACTAGAATGGTTTAGAGAAATACACTAAATATTCTCTTTTTGAGAATATTGGAAGTTTAAAAAATAGTACAGTCTTGGGGCATCTGGGTGGCTCATTTTGTTGTGTCCAACTCTTGATTTTGGCTCGGGTCATGGGCTCATGGTTTGTGGGTTCAAGCCCCACGGTGGGCTCTGTGCTGACTGTGCAGAGCCTGCTTGGTATTCTCTTTCCTCTCTCTGCCACTACACCCCTGCCTGCAAGTGCTCTCTCTCTCAAAATAAGTAAATAAAAAGTTAAAAAAAAATAAAAATAGTACTGTCTCACAGTATTATTGTGAGTAGTACTGCCCAGGCACCTGGATTCTGTACTCCCTCCAATGCCTGGGAATGGTGCTAGGTGGTGCAACCTGGGCTTAGACTGGATTTCAAGCGAAACCTGGCACAAGAAGTTAGGGTTGCCAGGTTAGCATATGAAAATAGATAATCCCCAGTTAAATTTGAATTATTTCTGAATGCTTTTGCACATGTATACTGGGATAAAATAAAAATATTGCATAGGAAATACTTGTACTAAAAATTATTTGTTGTTTATCTGAAGTAAATTATAAGTATCTATTCTACGTACCTCTTTAATTGTAAGTATTTTTATTCACTTAACATTTCTTTGTTTTGTATAATTTCCTTATAAAACTCCTTGCATTTGCAGTCTATCTTGCATTTGTATTGTAACATAGCTTTTATCTTGCTCACATCAAAACTGTTTAATTCTTTTGTCCACTGAGCATTAATGAGAAAACATGCTCAATATTTGCATTATGAACCAGTATACTGAAAAAGTACTTGTATAAAGTTAAGAACTTTGGGAATTGCTCTTCAAATTTGTATTGTTGCAGTATATAATACCATCTTTCATGGTGTAAATTGTTTTCCCATTGCTCAGGATTATGTTGCATATTTCACTCAGTGACTTTTAAAAAATATTGTCCACTGACAAAAGAGTGTTGTCAAATTTTGTTCCCTTTATAAGACTTCTCACAATGGTTTCCCTTATTTTCATGCTGGAAGAGTATTTCAGAGCATTCATATAAAATGACTGAATTCTTCAAATGTTGGTACTGATTTCAAAAGATAGGCATAGCAAATGTCATAATAATCTCAAGTTGGAATTTCTTTTCCTGTTCATAAGTAAAGTGTGGTTTGCTCACCTCATGGGAATTGTTGATCTGTTCTGCTGCATGTTGTCTCATATATGTGGGCATGACTGAACAATAGATTGGTTAAGTTTGGTGTATTGTGTCTTGGCCATTTTACCTGGGTAGCAGTTCTAAATTTGTTCTTCCCAGAAGGTGTAAAGTCAGAAGAATTATTTGTTTTGTGAGTTACATTTAATTTTAATTGTATTAGGAACTTTGTTTTAATTGCTTCTAGGGGACTTCATCCCAAAAGAACTAGAAAGTTTCTAAATTATAACCAATCCACATTGTGAACTTTAAATTACTTTTGGGACTAGAAAGATCCTCAAAGCAGCAAAGAACGTAAGCTGCTTTGGTGCTCCATTGGCTGTTCCTTTAAAGGCTCCTCTACTAGTTAACTGACTGTAAAGAGGTCCAACTTTCATTTTTACTGGAAGTCAGTTCTGTTTTTCCACTGGTTAATCATTTTGCTTGTTTGCTTTTGTTTTGTTTTTGTTTTTACTGTAGCAATGGCAACTACTTGGTATAAATAAAAACTGAGAAACAGATAGTTCTTTTAGTTATATTATTGAACTTATTGAGATGGAATTTATGAGACTAGCAATCTCACAAAAAAGTAGTGCTTCTGTTTCTGTCATTTTGATATAAAAATATTCTATATTCTAGTGAAGTGGGGATATAAGTAATTATAACATATTACCATGCTGAAGAATATTTTGAGTGACCTATCCCTCTTTATTATGGGCATTCTGAATATGCAGTGAGAGTAAGATTGGCAGAGAAGCTGTTAGAACAGAAGCTGATTTCTGTGCAGGGAAAAGATAATATGTATTTTCTCATGCCTGCAAGTAAAAGAGTAAATCCCTCATAACTTAAATTTCTTAGGTTATACCTTTATTATGGTTTGTAGATTGAGACATGTGCGCTAGAGTTTTTCTGAGATCAACCTGTAATTCATTATATGTATTAGGCAGGACAATAGAGTTACCTAGACATCCCAATTTGTGCTAAAAAAGATGAAAAAGAATAATTTAATCCAAAAGGTTTTTTTTTGACCATTAGTAATGCCTATAGTTAATATTCTTAGGGTATTACAGGTATACATTTCTCCCCAGATTAGAATTAACCAAAAGTTCTTTTTCTGAAGAATATCTTTTTCATCTTGTTTTCTAGCCACAAAATTCTGAGGTTAAAGTACCATTGCAGCAGGACTTACATACAGTATTTTGTTTTAATAAGTGAAGAACAGTGATTTTTGTTGAGGGTAACATATTGTGTTCTGGATTGTTTGGTAAAAATGTTATGGTGACATTGCATTCAAATTTCAAATTTATAATGTAAGTTAGATACATATTTATAAACCAGTTGTATGTGTTCTGAATCTCTTTTCTAACAAGGTCTTTTTTTGTTGTTTTGAGCCAAAGTCTCCTTCATGATATCTAAAAGTCTATAACTGAGCTTAGAGGATCATAACATATTCTTATGCTATCTTTCTATCCAGTCATAAGTCTGTATTACCCATAAGGGAAGCCGCTTAATGATGCAAACACCTCTTGCAAACACTGCTGTAACAGATCCACATGTATTCTGGCTGCTACAGAATTCATTTTGTTGAAAGAAAATATTAGCATGGGAAAGACCAATCAGTCTTCTGTGACAGAATTTGTCCTACTGGGGCTTTCTGGCTATCCAGAGCTTGAGGCCATTTACTTTGTGATGGTGCTGTGTATGTATCTGGTTATCCTGCTGGGAAATGGAATCATCATCATTGTAAGTGTCTGTGACTCCCACTTGCACACCCCCATGTACTTTTTCCTCAGTAACTTATCATTCTTGGACATTTGCTATACCAGTTCTTCTATTCCCCTGTTTCTCAGCAGCTTCTTAACTTCACAGAAAACCATTTCCTTCTCTGGGTGTGGAGTCCAAATGTTTCTCTCCTTTGCTATGGGAGGCACAGAGTGTGTCCTTCTGAGCATGATGGCATTTGACCGCTATGCGGCCATCTGTAACCCTCTGAGATACTCCGTTATTATGAGCAAGACTTCATACATGTCCATGGCTGCTGGGTCCTGGATTGCAGGGGGTGTCAATTCTGTGTTGCAAACCTCTCTTGCAATGCGGCTTCCTTTCTGTGGGGATAATGTCATTAATCATTTTACTTGTGAAATCTTGGCTGTCTTAAAATTGGCTTGTGCTGATATCTCCATAAATGTTATTAGCATGGTTATTGCTAATGTTATTTTTCTTGTGGTCCCAGTACTTTTCATTTTTGTTTCCTATGTTTTCATTCTCTCCACTATCCTGAAGATTCCTTCTGCAGAGGGGAAGCGCAAAGCCTTCTCCACCTGCTCCGCCCACCTAACTGTGGTGATTATATTCTATGGAACCATCCTCTTCATGTATGCAAAACCCAAGGCTAAAGACTTCTCTGGTACAGACAAAGTACAAGTCACAGACAAAATCATCTCTCTCTTCTATGGAGTTGTGACACCTATGCTCAATCCCCTCATCTATAGTTTGAGAAACAAAGATGTGAAGGAAGCTGTGAAGAATATGCTGTGTCAGAAATGCTCCTCAGAGGGAATGTCAATGCTTTAAACAAATTCCTTTACTCTGAATGCAGAACTGGATCTCACCTGTAGGTTCCAAACTAAATATAAGGATTGGTGATACCATTAACTCCTGAAATTCTAATTTTTCTGTTCCTGATATTTAAATGTGAGAGAAATGTAGGGCCTACCTTTTCCCTTCATGACTAGATTAAAGAAGAAAGGGACAGCAATTTATGGGTAAAAGGATTCTCATCCAAACCATCCACCTTCTCGTGGATAACATAATTTAGTTTAACTCTGGAATAATGGGTTCTGTAATCTTATGTGAAAGGAAATGCCATTTTGTTGTCTTAACCTCTTACCTTCTATGTGCATTGGTTTTCTAGTCTCCTATCTTTCTTAGGAAGATAAACTAGACTCAATGTAAATAATTACTAATGGGGTGGCCTTCAATCATATAAAGGAAAAGAGTGAGCTTTTTAGGGTATTAGGTACCTAGCCTGTGTATATGCCTTAGAGAGACAAGAGTAGAAAAATGAAGCTGTTTTTCCTAGGTCTCTGACTTCCTTTTGGCTGCAAACTGGCAGACACACTTCTGTGAAGAAGTGTCTGAGGGAATGTGTGCCACTATGCAGGCACCCCAGCTGATTGAGGGCTTATCATATGTTTCAATAGATGAGTAGTGGCATCTGAGTGAAAACCATTGTTACTGTTAATGACTCAAAAATTAGCTTCTAAAGAACTTGTTCATATAATTCTCTGAGAACATGGTAATAGTGGGTTTAAAGTATCACAAATTAGGTATCTTTTCAGTTAGATGAATTGCATGTAGAATAAGAGCTTTCTATTCATTCATTCAGTCAGTCATTTGTTCCTGCATTAAATTATTCAAGTAATCAGTATTTACTGAATATTTTGTCTCAGACATTATGCTAACTATTGGTGATATCAAAAAAAACAAACACATGGAGACAAAATCCCAAACATGATCAAGGAGTGCATAGTCCTGTGGTATACAGACAGACACTTAAATTAAGAGCAAAAATATTAAAGACTATTCACAGCTTTCCCCTTCCCCTACCTTCTAAGCTGGATCCTTTGTTTGCATTCATAGTATGTTGGATTTTTAAGGGGCTAAACACAGTGATGGTGAATTGGAATAGTTTAAATGGGATAAAGTCATCTTCATATAAAAGGGTTTGGACCATCTCTAGGAAAGACATAAAAGAGGACAGTGAGAAAGAGGGGATAATGCAATGAGGAAGAAAGAGGTGCATGTTAGATATTTGGAACATAGATATGGGAGATATTTAAATAGAAACCATAAAAATAGAATCAGAGAAAATAAAGAAAATGGCTAAATAGGAAGCTTTGGTGCTGGTGTTCTGTGATCCTTCCTCTGTGTCTCTGTCTTGAAAATCTTAGTAAAGATATGCAGTATCTTTTAAGACATTTAGTGATAGATTCCATTTATAGTCTCACCATGCTGAGACTGGCTGTTAAGATTGGTGACCTTAAGTGGTCACAGACTTAAGTGAGTCACAATTATAATTCAGTGTGTTAAGTGTTATTAAAGGGGGATAGGTAAAATTCCCCTAGAAGAGAGTCCTAGGAAGGGGTTTTCTGCTTGGCTGAGCTAGGAAAAACAATTCTCCTAGTAGTCTTATACAGAAGAATTTTTCAGACAGAGAAAACAGCATATGGCAAGATATGGACCACCATTAATAAGAGTTTCGATTAGTTGGAACTTGGGTTAGTGACAGAGGTTGGTTAGTGACAGAGAAGAAGATTGGAAAGGCAGCTTGGAGCCAAATTGTGGGGGCTTCAGATACTAAGATAGAAAGTCAATATTTCTGTACGTTTGTGCTGTAGGTTTGCATTTCTGTTCTCTGGAGCGCAGGAGAGTACATCATGGCTCCACACAGATGAGTACATTTCAAGAAGTCAGGTATTTTTCCATAGTGAAAAATCTTCCCAGCCCTTAAGTCTGAGAGAAAAATGCCTCTAATTATGTACCATTGTCTGTTTTGCTGTACGTTGTTTGAGGGTGGTATTGTTTAAACACTTCACGGGGTGCACAGAGCCAATTTTATTCCTCAATGCAAGCTTCTTCCTTTTTTCTTTACTTATGTTTCTGTTCCTTTCTTCTAAACTTGGGTTTAAACTTCACCAGCTACTTAATGCGTGTTTTTATGTAATTGACTAATCCCTATGCTCTTCTCCTCTCAACTGTTTTGTACTCAGAACTGTATTGTTCTCTATATATTTATTTGTGCTTGCCAATATTTCATATATGACAATGTAAAGGACATTGCAAAGAGAAACGGAGTTAAATAGTGTATGGCCTTGGACAATCTCTGAATCCATTTATTCTCTGGAACCTTAGTTTCATAACTAGTAAAATCCAGTTTGAATGGGTCACTTGGTCAGTATGAGGTAGCTATCCAATGAACTCCTTTGTGTGAAAATCCTTTATGTTGGAAATTTTAAAGTACTAGAAAATGAGAGATATCATTAAATTATGATTTTATCCATTGGTTTCTCAATAGCAGGGACTAGATCCTTTATTTCTTTTATATCTTACTATAGCCTAGTAATATACCATGGTTTCTGTAAGTTCTTTTAGGTCTGTTACGGGATCCCAACAAATAGAATATTTATTGTTTAGCTGATTGATTTATTGAAAATTGGCTGATTGAACTTAATACAGAACATATCAGGGAAGGGATGCACTTGTCATGCTAACGTGAATGAAAAGATAAAATAATTGAAAATAAAATCACAGACACAGATGCTTCTGTTGAGAAAGTGAAAAATTTTTTCCTACTGAATAAAAGAAGTGAATCTGTACATTGTGTCAGATATAATTTGATTCTATTTGCTATTGGAACAGTTTATGATACTTTTCAGGAGAAAAACACTCAAAAGTGACGTTCAAGACATATTTTTTCATTCAAAGACCCAAACCCCTAGAGTGTGCAAAATCCATGCATTTTACTAAGGAATGGTAAGTAAAGACAAATAGGCTTTGCAACTTGCTTTTGAGTAGTGTTCCATTCAGTGGCAACAATGGGGTAAAATGAAATAAAACAAGTATATATTGTGATAAAATTTATGATAATACTAAAAACAGTAAAGTCACAACAAAACATCTTCCAGGAATAAATAATAAATATTTTACCTGGTTCTGAAGGATAAGTAATCTTTTTCCAAATGGAAAGTGGGGAATGGACATTCTAGGTGAAGCACACAACAGAACAACATTTTCAAAGGAAGATGTGGACTTACTCCATGAGTTTGTTGAAAGGAAAGAGTCAGAACAAGATTTAGGTGCTGTATTTAATAAGATGTCAGTAGGGTTGTATTTTAACTATGATTAAATACCTAGAAGGACTAATAAGATGGACCCAATATAAAGATTACATAAATTCAGAATTGAGGCTTCTTTTTGTTTCCACATAGTTAAATCCCTTAAAGTCCTGCTAGGCTCCAACACTTGTTCTTAGAAGAGGGCCACACGGCTGTGGCTTTCCTGTAATTTTCTTTGGAAAAATCTTCCCAGGAGGGTAAGTCCAATGGCTTCTGCCCAGTTCTACTCATAGCCATGCTCCTTCTGTTTTAACAGTGTTAAGCGGAGGCAATGGTTATGGACCAATAGAGCATAATTAGCCCCTTTGTCATACAAAAGGACATATCTAATATATTAATAAATGACATAAATTGTTTTAACAGATCCACACAAATCACTGGCCTTATTAGAGAACAAAATGTAGTAGCTTCAAATGAAGACAAATTTCTGGATTGTCAATTTTCTTCTAATTAATCTGCAGTATCCTGCCTCACAAGATGCCATATGTATGGAATGAAAATGCATCATTTATCCACAAACTGGGATTTATAAAAAAAGCTAGATATCAGCTCTTGGGATTTGGACTTCTTAGTGGAACACATGGTAAAGAAAGCCTCCTTAGTCTTCTGTAACATAGGCCTCAGTGGTATCAAGGGTCAAGGGCCTAGAGCCAGAAGGAATAATTACGGGCCTTTCAGTGGTAAAATATACCAGTAACACCAAAGGAATGTGCTATTTTAAATTGTATTGATGACATAATCTATAGTGATCATATAATCTGATTTGCATTCAATAGTCCATGTCTGTTGTCCCAATATACTTGTTAATAGCACCCTGTTTCAGCTTCGAAAGTTTGCTGGTTTGTATGATAAGTGATATTGTGGCCCTTGTCACAGGGTAGAGTTGCTCAGAAAAACTGTTGCTTAATTTCTACCAGACTGGGAAATTGGTGGGTTCTAAGGGTTTCTTTCTTAGTGAGGTACCAGTGCAATATTTGTACTTTCTTAGACATGCGTTGTTGTGGCTAAGACCTTTTCATTGCTTCATTCTCCGAAAGGTTACCCTTTCATCAAAACAAATGGAACATAAATATAATATAATAAAGAGGTTTGTGGGGAAGTTAAGCCCTTTCAGCCCAAAATTTATTATCATCTATCAATTTCTATAGAAAAATCTGCTGGGGTTATGCCTGGGATTGTGTTAATTCTAAAGATAAATTTAAGGAGAATTACCTTAACAATAGTAAGTAGATTCATCAACATTGTGTATCTATTCATTTATTTTGGTCTTCTTTAATTTCTTCTAGAAAGTTTTGAACTTTTGGTGTGGAAGTCTTATTTCTAGATAAATTCAGTTTATTCTTTAATATTTTTGATGGTATTTTAAGTGGACTTAAAAAAAAACAAACTTCCTTCCCAGTATTGCTCTATTTGTGGTTCCATATAAATTTTAGGTTTTTTTCCTATTTCAATGAACAATAACCTTTGGAATTTTGATAGGGATTGCATTGAATCTATAGATTTGGGTAGTATGGACATTTTAACATTATTACTTCTTCAAATCCATGAGCCCAGAATATTTTTCCATTTACTTGTGTCTTTAATTTTTTTTATCAATGTCTTATAGTTTTCAGTGTACTAGTCTTTCACTTCCTTGGTCAAATTTATTCCTAGATATTTCATTCTTTTTGGTGCAACTGTAAATGGGATTGTTTTTTTAATTTCTCTTTCTGCTAGTTCACTACTATAGAAATACAGCTGGTTTTTGCATATGGATTTTGTGTCCTGCAAATGTTACTGAATCATTAATTAGTTCTAAGCTTTAGGGTTTTCTATATATGATATCATGTCATCTCTAAATAGAAACTATTTATTTCTCCTTTTTAATTTAGAAACATTTTATTTCTTTTTCTTGCCTAATTATTCTGACTATGACTTCTAGTACTATGTTAAATAAAAGTGGGGTTATTGGGCATCCTTGTCTTGCTCCTGATCTTAGAGGAAAAGCTCAGCTTTTCATTGTTGTATGATATTGGCTGTGGTCTTGTCATATATGGACTTTATTATTTTGAAGTATGTTCCCTTTATACTCAGTTTGTTGAGAGTTTTTATCAGGAATGGATGTTAAATTCGTCAGTTTTTTAATGGATCTGTTGAAATGATCACGTGAATTTATCCTTCATTCTGTCAATGTGATGTATATATTGATTGATTTGCAGATGTTGAACCATGCTTGCATCACTGGAATAAATCCTACTTGATCATGGTATATTACTCTTTTAATGTATGGTTGAATTCAGTTTGCTAATATTTTGTAAAAGATGTTGCCTGTTTGATATTTCATTGATTTATTGTTTCCTTTCCTTCTTTCTTGTATACCAATTGCATGTGGGTTAGACTTTGATTTTGTCTGCAGGTACTCTATTCTTTATCACTTTTATTCTGTTGTTGAACCAATTCAGTGGATTTTAAAATTTCAGCTATTATACTTTTCAGTTCTAGAATTTCCATTTGGTTCTTTTTACAATTTTTATTTCTTCACTGAAATTTGGTATCTTTTCTTTGCTTGTGAGCATATTCTCTTTTATTTCATTTAAGTAGTTATAAGGAGTTGCTTTATCACCCTTTCTGCTAATTCTAACCTTTAGGCTATCTCAGGCTTGGTTTCCATTGACTGCCTTTTTATCTTGAGAGTAGGTCACATTTTCCTGATTCTTTGTATGTTAAGTAATTCTGGATTGTATCATGGACATTGTAAATGTGATATTTCGAGACTCTGAATTCCATTAAATTCCTCTGAACAGTTTTGATATTTTGGTTTTAAGATAAACCTGGTTTGACTCAAACTAACTCAATCTTTTTGTTGGTAGTTTACATCCTAGTTTAAGATTTTTGTTTTTTCATCTTTAGCTAGGTTGTACATACATGGCACATTGGTCAGAGAACTGACCAAGATTTTTACACAGAATTTGATATCTTTTCTTCTGTATTTCCCCTTTCTGAAATCCGCCCCCCCCCCTCAACTTTACACTGGCTGTATTTCCCCTGAACTCTGAGGTTTGTCCAGAAGGACTGCCAGTTTATTATCAGTTTTTACTACTTCATGCAGTGCTTAGTTGAGCCTATAGGCATAAAAATGTGAAACCTACACCAAAACATTACTTTTCCAAAGTAATTTTAAAAACAATTTTCTACAAAATTTATCATCTCTAAGATGCTTGAGTCTGGTACAAGCTTATTCAGCTGTAGTGGAAGTAGCAGAAATCAGAAGTTCCCTCTTCACATTTTATGACTAGAATGCTTGCACCTCTTGTTTTCTCTGTGATGGATCCCTTCTTCATTCATTAACTGATCATAATTATGTTGTTTCTTAATATACCTCAAAAACAAAGTAATGCTGACATTTGGAATGGAGGACATGCTACAATGAATAAGGAATTTGAAATCCTCCTGAGGCCAGAGTTGATCATACCATAGGGTTAAATAATATGGAATACTCAGTCAGATTTACATGTATTATTATCCTATTAAGAACCCTTTAATAATGTTGCATTATGTGACGACACGTGGCTCATGGGAGGAACCTATTACATTTTTTTATCTTTCTCTTTTCTATTTGGCTCTTTAGTCTCTTCCTACCCTTAGTATACCCCTGGTGTACTCTTTCCTTTATCAGGTAAAATGAAGGCTGACCTCCAAAGTTCCCTTTCTTCAGCTACATCTTCTTTCATCACTTTTTGCTAATGCTCCCTCCTTTTTGTAACTTATTCACATATAACCATCTAGGAATCCATGATTAGCCACCTTATTTTCCAGAACTCAGAGAACAAATGAGTAAGGTAAGTGATGGGATGAGAAGTAATATTTAAATAATGCATATGTACATAAAATGTGCTAGCTAATTAGATAAGTTATATATGCTATTTTTAAGTTCCTTTTCATTAATTCATTCTGGTGGAAAATGCAATGTATGTATGATTGTCCCTTGCTGTGTCATTCACATATAGACACTCAGGAATCCTTGCTTAATAGCTTATTTTCAAGAACCAGAGAGCAAATGTGAAAGACAATAGATGTATAAGGCAGTATTATTTAATAAATGCATAATATATACTATGTGGTGTACTAGATGTCATAATACATAACCTTTTGAAATTGTTTTCATTAATTAATGAAAATAATGTTGCTTTCACTTTTGTGTTGATTACTTTTCTCATTTATTCAACACTATATGTGCCTGTTAGGGGCTGGGGACTCAGTGCTGGCTATTACATTGTCCCTACTTTCAAGGATTAGCTTCAGATGGCTTTGTAAGGTAGATAAGAAAATTTAGGCCCATATAAAGGTCATACAGTTCTTAAATAGCAGCCAAAAGTTAAGTCCATTTTCTGTCTATATTGCTTATGTTAATTTTGGAGTATGTTTGAGGAATAAGTTAAATACCAAGAGATATTTCAGGAGGAAACAAAGAACTGTGAGAAATTCTTTAAAAGTGAAGAGAGGTTGTCTGCTACTGATGTTGCCATTTCTCTGAAGAATTACCATTTTGATTCTGAATTTTTATTTTGAATCAGTCTTTTCATTTGTGCTATAAACTAAATGTGGTGTGTGTGTGTGTGTGTGTGTGTGTGTGTGTGTGTGTGTGGTGTTTGTGTGCATGTGTGGCAAAAACAAAGCAAAACAAAAAATCTTTGTCTTCCAAAGTATTTTGACAATTTTCTTCAGCAATCTCACCACCATATGTGTGGAATTAATTTAAAATTTGTTCTTAAAAATAAAATCTGAGTTTATAGTGCAGAATTAGAGTAGAAATAAAATCAGAGAGGTGATTATATCTTAAGAAACACCACTGTATATTACAACTGAATAGTTATTCAAAGGAGACATTTTTGGGGGAACTTTTTCAGCATATTTTATTCAGTTGTAACTTTATCATCTTTTTCCCCTACATTTAAAGATTAGCTGCTATTTTACAAAAGTATTTGGAATTGTAGTTGGGGCATGTAATAATATATAAAGCCCACTTCTCTTATTTCCCTGTGTGGTATTTCACATAGTTGGACTTATAACGTTACTATTCTTTTTCCATTTCAACAGTTAATGACTACTCACTATTTTTAATTAACTTGACATTGGACTTCATACAGAGAACAGTGAACCATAGTTCTGCCATTGGAAACATTCCAGAAGCTAATACATGGTTATAACAAGGAAGAAAAATTGCTATAGTAGGTAAGGGTCAGGATAACACAGAAGAGGGAGGAACTAACTCAAGGGCGTTATTGGAAGGTTTACAGAGGATGTAACACTTGACCTATTTCTTCTGTCATTGCTAAGATTTCACTACAGAAGGAGAAATCTGACAATGGGGAGGAATAACATTTGCTATAGTCCTTAAATGAGAAAGAACATGAAATAATCAGGTAACTACACAGTGTGTGGAATACAATACATGTGTAGGGAATGGGGGCAACATGGGCAGGTAACAGGAACACATAATGTAGAGTTGGAAATGTAGGTTGGGGTCAAATGAGGTCTCTGGGTAAAATTAAAAAAAATAAAACAAGCATATGGGGCACCTGGGTGGCTCAGTCTGATAGGTGTCTGACTTCGGCTCAGGTCATCATCTAGTGGTTCATGAGTTTGAGCCCCACATCAAGCTCTGTGCTTACAGTTCAGAGCCTGGAGCCTGGTTTAGATTCTGTGTCTCCCTCTCTTTCTGCCCCTCCCTCACTCACGCTCTGTCTCTTCCTCTCTCTCTAAAAAATAAACATTAAAAAAAAAACAAGTGTAAGCAAACAAATATTTCAAAAGTATTTCCAACAAAAGTTACTAAAAATAATTTTTTTTTGCTCAGTAGCTATATGTGTTGGGTTTTCTTGGAAGGGCTTAATTTCAAATATTTTTGTCTTGTTCACATAAGTTTACTTGCATTTCTCAGACTGCTTAGCCCCACCTTTTCATGAAACCATTGTCATTTTCAGAAAGTGTTATAATTAGACTATTGATCTTGAAATCTCTAACTCTGAAGTTCTGTGATTCAACATATGACCACCTGTTGTTCTCTTTATATTGAAAACCCTTGCCTCAACATATGTGAGCTTCTTTTGTGCATGAACTTAAGGATATTATTTTCTCATATTTTTCTCTAGACCTAGTGTCTCTCATTAATTTTCTTGTAGCCCCAGGTACTTCCTTATTCCTTAGGTTATAAATGGTAGGATTGAGCATGGGGTTGACTACCCCATAGAAAAGGATAATCAGTCTGTTTTAAGTCAGTGTCTTTGGAATTTAGCTTCATATACACACAGGAAGAGGAGTGTCCCATAAGATACAGTCATCACTAATATGTAGAAAAGGCCTTTTTTCTTCCTTTAGCTGAATTAATTTTCAGTACAGCATAGATGATGAAAATATGGAAAAAAGACATTAGTAGGAATGGAGCAGATGAAAATATTACATTTCCCAACATTATTAAACTTTTATTCAAGAAAATACCTGTTCAGGCCAGCTTTATTAAATTCACACAAAATGATTAATGATATTTCTTGCAGTGTGAGTATATTTTGTGTCATTCCATTGAGAAAGCCTAATCCCAGGAGATAGTTGCCATCTAAACACAAAGTGCCTTGCTTATGATGATGGGCTATTTCAGAGATTTGCTGATGACCATGTAGAAGCCATATGTTGTCACTGCTAGGAACACACAGTCTGTGACCCAATTACATAAAGAGACATTTATATAATACAACCTGTCAATGAGAGGGTATTTTTTTTTTATAATAGGAAGTTTGTCAGCATAGAGGTGACAAAAGAGGATGCATACCAGATATCCAGGAAGAAGAGGCTACCAAAGAAGTACATGGGCATGTGGAGGCAGGATTCCAGGAGGGTTGATGACCAAGGTGCTGTTCTCCAGGAGGATTACTAGGTACACCACTAAGGACAGAACAAAAAGGAGTTTTTTTGCCAATTCCTTGGTACTCAGATCTCTCAGAATACACTGAATTTCAGTTGTCCAATTGGTCCTTTTCATTCCCCTTTTCATACCTGGAATAAGCCAGAAAAAGAAACAGCATATGAGTTAAGTGGGTGGTCCTATATTATATAAAGTAAAAGGTGAGTAGGGTGGAGGTCCAACAATTATGTGAGCCCTAGCTGGAGTGGTGGTAACAGCAGTGTGTTTGCTTGTGGGATTCCTCTTCTAGTTCATAAAGCAACTGAGCCACATCAGTAACCTATTAAAAATTCAGGCTTCTGTGCTCTGTTTTCTGAAATTGTGATGCACAAGGTCTGAGGTATGGAAAAATTATTTGCATTTTAACAAACGTGTTATTTCTGATACAATCAGTCCACAAACTCCACTTTAAAAATCAATGTTTTAGAAACAGCATGCTTTATTCTTCTCAACAAATATTTATTTATTTGATTTTACAGTATGATAGCCACTAACAACATCATTTATTTAGAGTTTTATAGTTTAAAAATGTGTTCACACACATTAATTATTTTTTTATCACTATATTCTCTGAGGAAAATTAAATCCAGAGAGAAGAAATTTATATAAAATCATTAAGTGAAGAAACTGCTATTCAAATCTGGTCTTCCCGATTTTAAATCTCATGTATTTTAAACTATATTGTCATCCAAAAATTCTATAAGTTGGCTAAAGGGTGGGAATCAGGCACCTTTAAAAAATGCTCTTCAGATGATTTTAATATGCAAATAAGGATTAAAGACACTGAGCTAGTGGTGTCTTGCAAACTTTAGTACATATGTGAACCACCTGGGGGAATCTTTGAAGACTGTCGATTCTGATTCAGTTGGGCTGAGGTGGCTTCTGAGACCTGCACTTATTAACATGTTACTGGGTGATGCTGATGCTGCTTTCTACAGAACACATAGGTCACAAGGCCTCTTAGATCAACTCTCTCCAATACCTTGGAGAGCAACTTTTGGCGCTTCAGTTGTGTGTAGAATAGTACTTGGATAGTAGACAATGTGAAACTGAACATTATGGTGAGACTTGGAAGTGAGACTTCTGTGTAGTTTATTGCAAACAGTTTCATGTTCCTTAGATTTTAGATATATAAGCAACCAAATTACATGTGGCCTGTCCATCTGAGTCATTCATCTTCCACTTGTTGAATTTGCAGTTAGGGCCAATATTTTTTTTTAAAGAAGGAGTTTGAGTAAGCTAAAGAACCTGAGTTGTGTGCTAAGTGCATGGAACAAATGTCTTCAATTTGAAAAAATATTAAAGAGTAAATGTTAGCAAATGAACTTCTTGTTTATAGTAAATGAATCACAGAATGTCCTTTTAAAAACAGGTCTTCATATTTTTAACCACAGTTGAAAAATATTTCCCTGATAAATAAATTAATTGATCCAAAGGATGAGTTACTACTTAGTATTTTCAAGCAATGGCTGTGGAAATGTTAATATGATTTGCCTTGTGCTAGCCATTTGACAGTGAGTTATGCTATTCGCTGAGGAAACAATGGTCATACCACTTAGTCAATATAGAAGGAAGCTTATAATCCTATTGGCTATGGGAAAGAGGGCCCATATCGAGTTTAAGCTGCACAAAACTATGCAGGTTTACAAAGAGAAAATAAGAGGGGGTGGGTAGGCCAAGATATACTCCTGTTCAGTACTGTTTATGAATGGAATTTGAATTACTGCAGGAGCATAATCAACCTACTTTTAGTCTGCCAATAAAACTCTGATAGAGGCTTTGAACAAGCATCAGTAATCTGGAATCTATACTGAAGCTGTTTTAGGGAAGATATGGCTCAGGTCAAATGTCATTTGTTCCCTTTTAAGTTTTCCAAAATGTTAATTCCTATTTGGAAATTATTTTCAGAAAATGATCATTTATTACTGAGACTAAAGTGGTGTATTTTGTATACTAACAGCCCCCAAATGGTTATACTGTCAAAAGATTTTACTTACAGTCATTCCTATAGGAAACCACCCATCTCTTTTAATGCTTTAAAAAATAAAATTGAGTAGAGGTCATTATTTATATTTCTCTTGCAATGCTAGAATAGCTCCTTTAAGAGGCAGTTGATAGATTCCAAATATTTCATTCTTCAAAAGAGTACTGTGTTGAATACATTTGTGTTGAAATGCTTCCTGCATTTTTGTTTACTTCTTTATAACATGGAGATCCAGAGCTGTTTGTGTAAAGGAAAGAAAATAATTGAGGTTACTGATAGTACTTAAAAATTTCTCTTTATTTCTCATAAGATTTGAAGTTATAGATAATTTTTCCATCATCATATGCTACCTTTTTTTAAAAGTTTTTACTTAAATTCTAGTTAGTTAACATACAGTGTCAAATTAGTTTCAAGTGTATGATATACTGAATCAACACTTCCACAAAACACCCAGTGCTCATCACAATAAGTGCACTCCTTAATTCCCATCACAAATTTAACTCTACCCCCACCCACCCCATTAACCATCAGTTTATTTTCTATAGTTAAGAGTCTGTTTTTGCTTTGCCTCTCTTTCTTTCACCCCTTTACTCATTTATTTCTTAAATTCCACATATGAGAAAAATCATACGGTATTTGTCTTTCTCCAACTTATTTCACTTAGCATAATACTTTCTAGCTCCATCTATATTGTTGCAAATGGCAAGATTTTGTTCTTTTTTTATGATTGAGTAATATTCCATTGTGTGTGTGTGTGTATGTGTGTGTGTGTGTGTGTGTGTGTGTGTGTGTGCACGTGCATACACACATACCTTCTTTATCCATTTATTCATGGATGCATACTGGGCTGTTTCCATAATTTGGCTATTGCAGATAATGCCGCTATAAACATTGAGATGCATGTGTCCCTTTGAATTAGTATTTTTGTATTCTTTGGGTAAATTCTTAGTAGTGTAATTGCTGGATCACAGGGTAGTTATATTTTTCACTTTTTGAAAAACTTCCATACTTTGGCTGCAACAGTTTGATTCTCACCAAAAGTGCAAGAGGGTTTCCATTTCTCCATATCCTCACCAACACTTGCTTCTTGTGTTGTTGATTTTAGCTATTCTAACAGGTGTGAGGTGGTATCTCATTGTAGTTTTGGTATGTATTTTCCTGATGATGAGTGATGTTGAGCATCTTTTCATGTTTGTTAGCCATCTTGGATGCCTTCTTTGGAAAAATGTCTGTTCATGTCTTCTGCCCACTTTTTAATAGGATTACTCAGTTTTTCAGTATTGAGTTTTATAAGTTCTTTATATATTTTGGAAATTAATCCTTTAATTAGACATGTCATTTCAAAATATCTTCTCCATTCTGTAGGTTACCTTTTAGTTTTGTTGATTGTTTCCTTTCTGTGCAGCTTTTTATTTTGATGAAGTCCCAATAGTTAACTTTTGCTTAACCTCAGGAGACATATCTAGAAGGAAGTTTCTATAGCTGATGTCAAAGAGGGTACTGCCTGTGTTCTCCTGTAGGATTTTTATGGCTTTAGGTCTCATATTTAGATATTTAATCTATTTTGAGTTTATTTGTGTGTACGATGTATGAAAGTGGTTCAGTTTCATCCTTCTGCATGTTGCTGTCCAGTGTTCCCAACATCATTTGTTGAAGAGACTATCTTTTTTCCATTGCATATTCTTTCTTGCTTTGTCAAAAATGATTGACCGTATAGTTGGGGGTGCATTTCTGAGTTTTCTGTTCTGTTCTATTGATTCATGTGTTTGTTTTTGTGTCAGTACCATGCCATCTTGATGACTACAGCTTTGTAATATAACTTGAAATCTGGAATTGTGATGCCTTCAGCTTTGCTTTTCTTTTTCAAGATTGCTTTGTCCTTTTGGGGTCTTTTGTAGTTCCATAGAAATTTTAGGATTGTTTTTTCTAGCTTTGTGAAAAATTCTGGTGTTATTTGGATAGGGATTGCATGGAATGTGTAGATTGCTTTGGGTAGTATAGACATTTTAACAATATTTGTTCGTTCAATCCATAAGAATGGAATGCTTTTCCATTTTTTTTATATCTTCTTAAATTTCTTTCCTATGTATTCTATTTTAAGAGTACATATCTTTTACCTCTTTTATTAGGTTTATTCCTAGGTATTTTATGTTTTTTTATGCAATTGTAAATGGGATCAAAACTTTGATTTCTCTTTCTGCTGCTTCAGTTTTTATACATTGATTTTATATCCTGTGACTTTCCTGAAATCATGGATCAGTTCTAGTAATTTTTTTGGTAGAGTCTTTCGGGTTTTCCCTGTAAAATATCATGTAATTTTCAGAGAGTGAAAGTTTGATTTCTTTCTTGCTGATTTGGATGACTTTTGTTTCTTTCTGTTGTTGATTGCTGAGGCTAAGACTTACACTACTGTGTTGAACAACACTGTGAGAATGGATATCCCTATCGTGTTCCTGATCTTTGGGGGAAAGCTCTCAGTTTTTCCCAACTGAGGATGATATTAGCTAAAGGTCTTTCTTATATGGCTTTTATGATGTTAAGGTATGTTCCTTCTATCCCTACTTTCTTGAGGGTTTTATCAAGAAAGGGTGCTGTATTTTGTCAATGTTTTTTTCTGAATCTATTGAAAGGATCATATGGTTCTTATCCTTTCTTTTATTAATGTGATACATCATGTTAATTGATTTGTGGATATTGAACCACCCATGCATCCCAGGAATAAATACCACTTGATCATGGTGAATACTTCTTTTAATGTACTGTTAGATTCTATTTGCTAATATCTTGTTGAGAATTTTTGCATCCATGTCATTAAGGATTTTGGTCTCTAATTCTCCTTTTTAGTGGGGTCTTTGTCTGGTTTTGGAATCAAGGTAATGCTGGCCTCATAGAATGGATACGGAAATTTTTCTTCCATTTCTATTTTTTGGAAGTTTCAAAAGAATAGATGTTGTTTTTCTTTCAAGATGGCAGAGCAGCATAGAAGTTCTCAGCTTGTCTCATTCCTGAAATGCAGCTAGATCAGCACCAAACCATTTTGCATACCTAGGAAATTGGTCTGAGGATTAACACAACAATTTGCATAACTTGAGCCACAGAACTCAGCAGGTATGCGGTGCAGAGAGGTGAACTAGGGGAGAGAAAAGCCGCAGAAGGTAGGGAGCTGTTTTTGCAGAGAGAGGACAGAGAAAAGTGGAGAGAAGGTGGTGTGCAGAAGAGTGCAGGAAAAGCGCTCTCCCTGAAAGTAGCTGGAAAGAAAGAGAAAGAATGGAAACTCTCACAAGGGACTGAACAAGAAATCTGTACCTCAAAACCAATGACGGGGAGAAAGAAGAGGGTTTCAATGCCATTAGTATTCTATAAACTGTAGAGTGTAGAGTCAGAAATTCCAGAGCTTAATATCTGGCCATGCTCTGGTGAGGAAGCAGGGTGATTCCCAACGAGTGGGCAATGGGGTCCAAGGGGTCTGTGGGCCACACAGAGAGAAGTGGTTCCCCTGCTTGGAGGGCGTTTGGTAGTGCCATACAGCTTCCCCACAGGTAAATGTCCTAGTGGACCCCGGAGAATAGCCACATTTGCTGGTATTGGGACAAGGACACCAGAATGCAGTGAAACCTGACTCTTCCTGTGTGTTGTGATTTGCCATAATCTCTGAACCTTTGCTGCTGTGTGATCGAACAATTATTATCTGGGGCAAGCCAGCACCTGGCCATAATCTTTGGACTTCTGCCACAGCACAGGCCCACAAATGTTTTCTAGGGCAAGCTGACATTCAGCCATTGCTCAGTGAGACCCTCCTCCGGAGTGTTAGAGCGATCCACACCACAGGTTCTCTGAAGGGAGGGGCTTGGAAGCACAGCCCCACCTGAGATAAAACTGTGGGGGAGGTACCACCTGGCAGGCTGATGGCTTGGGCACAGAAAAGGTAGAAGTGGGGGAATGGATAAAAGCCTGAGACAAAGGAGGGGTGCTTGATTGTGGGTCGGTGAGAGTGCAAAGTTCCTGTATCAGAGCTGGGTGAAGCCATTTCCACCTCTCCGGCACAAGGGCATGCACGCCACAGATTCACCCCAATAAGCTAAGCAGCGCCACCTAGTGGAGAATGGAGCTGTTACACCAAGTCATGCCCAACTGCGCCTTCCAAGCACATCCCCTAGAAGAACACAAGTCTCTCCACCTGCTTGGTGTACAGACTATGGAGGACTTCATAGTTTGAGTTCTAGGGGAAACTGGATGTAACTTAATTCGGGTTTCATTATGTTTGCTGATTCATCTATTTTTCTTCTTCTTTGTTTAAATTGTTTTATTTTTTCTCCTTTCTTGTCTTTTTCTTGGATACAGAAAGAAAATTTTATTTTTATTTTCTGTATGAAAACATTTTAAAAAATTCTTTTTACTATGTTTTTTTACTTTTTCGTAATTTTTAAATTCTATTTAACTTTCTTCATTTCATTTTATTATATTTAATTATATACTTTTTTTAGTTTTTAAATTTTTTCTTACTTTTTTTTCTTTTCTAATCTTTCAATTTTTTTCTCTATTCTATAAAGCTTCTTTCAACAACCATACCAAAACATACTTAGGATATAGCTTTCTTTATTTGAGTTTTTCTGTTGTTTTTAATTTTTTTAATTTAAATTTAAATTTTATTAATTCACTTTCTTCCTCCAAAACGACAAAATGAAGGAATTCACCCAAAAACAAAGAATAGGAATAAATGACAGCCAGGGGCTTAATCAACACAGATATAAGCAAGATGTCTGAACTAGAATTTAGAACCATGATAATAAGAATACTAGCTGGGGTTAAAACAAGCATAGAATCCCTTTCTGTGGAGATAAAAGAAGTAAAATCTAGTCAGAACGAAATTAAAATTGCTATAACCGAGATGCACTCTCAAATGGATGCCATGGCAGCAAGGATGGATGAAGCAGAGTAGCAACTCAGTGATATAGAAGACAAAATTGTGGAGAATAATGAAGCAGGAAAAAAAGGGAAACTAAGGGAAAAGAGCACGATACAAGAATTAGAGATATCAGTGACTTATTAAAAAGGAATAACATAAGAATCATAGGAGTCCCAGAAGATGAAGAGAGAGAAAAAATGGTAGAAGGTTTATGTGAGCAAATTATAGCAGAAAACTTTCCTAATCTGGGGAAAGACACAGATTTCAAAATCCAGGAAGCATAGAGAACTCCCATTAGATTCAACAAAAACTTAACACCAAGGCATATCATAGTCAAATTCACAAAATACACAGACAAGGAAAGAATTATGAAAGCAGCAAGGGGAAAAAGTCCTTAACCTATAAGGGAAGACAGATCAGGTTCGCAGCAGACCTATTCACAGACACTTGGCAGGCCAGAAAAGAGTAGCAGGATATATTCAATGTGCTGAATCAGCAAAACTATACGGTCAAGAATTCTTTATCCAGCAAGGTAGTCATTCAAAATAGGAGTGATAAAGAGTTTCTCAAACAAAAACTCAAGGATTTTGTGACCACTAAACAGCCCTGCAAGAAATTTTAAGGGGATTTCTCTGAGTGGAGAAAAGATGAAACAAAACAAAAAAGACCAAAAGCAACAAAGACTAGAAAGGACCTGAGAACATCACCAGAAACTCCAACTGTACAGGCAACACAATAGCACTAAATTCATATCTTTCAGTACTCACCTAACCTCAATGGATTAAACACTCCAATCAAATGACATAGGGTATCAGAATGGATAAGAAAATGAGACCCATATAGATGGGTCTTACATCTTACAAGAGACCCATTTAAACCCTAAAGATACATTCAGATTGAAAATAAGGGTATGGAGAACCATCTATCATGCTAATGCTCACCAAAAGAAAGCTGGAGTAGCCATACTTGTATCAGACAAACTGGATTTTAAAATAAAGATGGTAACAAGAGATGAAGAAGGGTGTTATATCATAATTAATGCATCTATCCACCAAGAAGATCTAACAATTGTAAACATTTATACCCCTAACATGTGGGAACCCAAATTTATAAATCAGTTAATCACAAACAAAGAAACTCATTGATAATAATACAATAATGGTAGGGGACTTCAATGCCCCACTTACAACAATGGACAGATCATCTAAACAGAAAACCAACAAGGAAACAATGGCTTTTAATGACATACTGGACCTGATGGACTTAATAGATATATTCAGGACAATTCACTTAAAGCAGGAGAATACACATTCTTTTTGAGTGCACATGGAACATTCTCCAGAATAGATCACATACCAGGACACAAATCAGCTCTCAACAAGTACAAAATGATCAAGATCATACCTTGCATATTTTCAGACCACAACACTATGAAACTCAAAGTCAACCACAAGAAAAAATTTGGAAAGACCACAAATACATGCTATAGTGATTGGATGCATGTTTATCTTCTATTTATATTCCTTAGTTTACAGATATCCATCTGTTATATTACATAATTAGTAGTTATATGAAATGCAACTAAATCCTTTTGGGATTTAACTTTTATAAATTTTTTTTTCTTTTCCCAGCAAACCTCCTGTGGTCTTTAACTCGATTAAGACTAATGCATTTTTAAAAAAGGTTTATTTATTCATTTTGAGAGAGAGAGAGTGCAAGCAGATGAGGGCAGAGAGGGAATGAGAGAGAATCCCAAGCAGTCTCCATGCTACCAGCATGGAGCCGACACTGGGCTCAAACTGAACCCATGTGGGGCTTGAACTCATGAACCATGAGATCATGACCTGAGACAAAACCAAAATTCTGAAGCTCAACCAACTGAGACACCCAGGTGCCCCAGGTCTAATGCCTTTTTTGATTAAACTAAGTCTCAAAATGTCTCAGTGAGCAGTGTCCCTTACATAGAGTTGGGATTCTTACTTTCTGTGTTCTCCTAGCACTCTAGGGTGCACTTATATCATGTTATTGTAATTATTTATTTACTTGATTATGTGATATTTTATCATGAGTTGCCTGAAAACAGCTTTTTACATAATTCAAAGAGATCTTCAGTGACTTGCAGTATATTCAATAAATGTTGAATGAATGAATGAATAATTAATATGGTATTTCCAGAATAATGATCCTTTTAATGTACCTCTAACAAAAACCCCTTGAAAGATGGTAGAATTTAGTTTTTAAAATATATATAATGTATATTTTCATTCACTACTATAGATAATCACAGAGGCATAAAATGGCCAAGACAACTTGACAGTCATTTCCAATTTTATTTTCCTGGGGTTTACTCGTTACCCCAAAGTTGAGGTCATCATATTTGTGCTGTGCTTGCTGATGTACCTGATCACCCTGCTGGGTAATATCATTCTGATGTCCATCACCATCCTGGATTCCCACCTACACAAACCCATGTACTTCTTCCTCAGCAACCTCTCCTTTTTAGACATCTGGTACACCTCTTCTGCTCTTACTCCAATGCTGACAAACTTTGTTTCAGGGAAAAACACCATCTCATTCTCAGGATGTGCCGCTCAGATGTACTTTTCTCTTGCCATGGGCTCCACTGAGTGTGTGCTTCTGTCCACGATGGCGTATGACCGGTATGTGGCCATCTGCAACCCTCTGAGATACCCCATCATCATGAACAAGAGGGCTTGTGTGCAGATTGTCGCTGGCTCCTGGATGACAGGCTGCCTCACCGCCCTGGTGGAAACAGTATCTGTGCTGCAGCTGTCTGTCTGTGGAAGTAGCATCATCAATCACTTCACTTGTGAAATTCTGGCTGTCTTGAAACTAGTTTGTGTGGATACTTCCAGGGTGCAGTTGATCATGCTGGTGATCAGCGTACTTCTTCTTCCTATGCCGGTGCTCCTCATTTATGTCTCTTACGCATTCATTCTCTCCAACATCCTGAGAATCAGCTCAGTGGATGGTGGAAGCAAAGCCTTTTCAACATGTGCAGCCCACCTGACTGTGGTGGTTTTGTTCTATGGGACAGCTCTCTCCATGTACCTGAAGCCCTCCTCTGTAGATTCACAGGAAATAGACAAATTTATGGCTTTGGTATATGCTGGATTAACCCCCATGTTGAATCCTATCATTTATAGTTTACGGAACAAAGAGGTAAAAGTAGCTGTGAAAAAATTGCTGATTAGGAACCCTCTGTGTGCTTTTTTAATCCCCCATAGCAAATCATAACATTAGTCTAAGGGATGTATTGACGTGTTCAATACGCACCAGAACATTGGACTAAGAGGGGAAGACACTCATTTTAAATAAGATGTGTGATTTCCTAAGTTTCCTCCTTGACTGATTGCTGAAGCTCTAAGATAATATAGACATATGTTACATAAGCATATCTGAAATCTTACATAAATAGACTTATGATGACAAACTTCAATTTTATTTTGGGTTATAGACTGTAAGTATAGCTTTAAACATTAAGCTAGTGTATTGTTAGTATTCAAAATTATGTACATGTAATATACAAATGTAATAACTATAGTAGACTTTTTAGATAGTTTATTATTAACCTTTGTTTTAGCCTGAGTTGTGTCCCTGCAAAACTTATGTTGAAGCTCTAACCCACCAGTACTTCAGAATGTATTTACATTTGGAGATAAGGCCTTTAAAGTGTGATTAAGTTAAAATGAGGCTATCAGTGTGGGCCTTCATTACAATTGGACTTATGTCATTATAAGAAAAAATTTAAGAAATTTAGACACACATGGGTACTCCAGGGTTGCTCACACACAGGGGAAAAGACCTAGCAAGAAAGCGGCTATCTGAAAGCCAGGGAGAGGCTTCAGAAGAAATCAGATCTGCCAACACTTTAATCTTGGTCTATCCTCCAGAACTATGAGAAAGTCAATTTCTGTTGTCAGGCAATCCAATCTGTGCTATTTTGTTATGGTAGTATTAAGAAACCACTACAACCTCCTTTAAGCATTGCTAAATTTAATGGGAGTAATTGCATATTCTACAAAGTATAACTGTGTTTTACATGTGTGGAAATATTTGTGGATGCAGATAGATGTGTGTGATGTGAATTTCTATGTACAAATGGAGAAGGTCTGCACAAATATATACTGAATAGAAATGGGGTAGAGGGATGCTAGTCTGCAAAAATATCAGAGAATTTAGCAGTTTGTTGTTGGTCTTCAAGTGCTGACATTAATTTCGTAAATTCAAAGAAGCTGCAGGATGTTTCAGTGAAACTACAAGCACCCTTCCCTTTTTTATTGTGCTTTCCCCTGACACCTAGATGCTTAGATCCAAGGGTATAAATGAAGCTATAAGCATTTAGAAACAAAATACATGATATATTTATATTATAAAATATACAGTATCCCAAACCCACTAAAATGGTGAGAAATGCTGAAATATAAGACATATCTTATTGTATAAGCCATAATATACAAAGAACTTAAAAATGTTCACTCATCAGTATTTGTAACATTTGTATGTCCTTTCTGGACCAGATGACTAAATGTGAGGTCAGTGTGCAAAACTTATTTGCTCTTTATCATGAAGTTGTCACAAGAGTCAATAAAATTGTGATGGCTTGGATCCAGAAAGCAATGGTATGAAGAAGATAGGATGAATATGGGAATTACCGGGTTGTAGGGCTGGATTCGATTTCTCAGATATGAATAAACAGTCATCAAAGATGATTGGTCCATTGGTGTAAGTAAAGAACTCTGATGCAGTCGTTGATTGGATGACACGAGTAGCGTAAGGATGATGACTTCACAAAGATAGGGATGTAAGTCGGTTGACTGGTTGGCTGTGCATTGATGGTTAGACTTACAGGTGAAGACAGATTTGTGAAATCTGGGCAAGAAATTAGGTCTAAAGCTATATATATGTTGGTAAATCTTTTGCAAAGAGATGTAAATTGAGTACTAGGTGTGGATGATGTTTTCTAGCGTAATTTAGGGCAATTATCTATAAAATTTTTGTTATGTTTTCCTGTTATTGGTAAGAACTGTGGTAAAGGTGAAAGAATAGTACACATGGGATCTAGAGTAAATTATCCAAAGTATACAGAAATGCTGATTCAAAGGGGCACATGCACCCCAGTGTTTATAGCAACACTATCAACAATAGCTAAATTATTGAAAGAGCCCAAATATCCATTGACTGATGAATGGATAAAAAGAAAATGGTATATATATACAATGGAATATTACTTGGTGATCAGAAAGAATGATATCTTGACATTTGTAAAATGGATGCAACTGATATGTATTATGCTAAGCAAAGTAAGTCAGGCAGAGAAATACAAATATCATATGATTTAACTCATATGTGTAATTTAAGAAACAAAACAGATAATGGGGCCCAGGGTGGCTCAGTTGGTTGGGCGTCCGACTTCTCCTCGGGTCATGATCTTGTGGTTTGTGAGTTCAAGCCCTGTGTCAGGCTCTGTGTTGACAGCTCAGAGCCTGGAGCCTGCTTCAGATTCTGTGTCTCCTCCTCTCTCTGCCCCTTCCATGCTCTTGCTCTGTCTCACTCTGTCTCTCAATGATGAATAAACGTTAAAAAAAAAAAAAAGAAACAAACAAAAGAGATGAACATAAAGGAAGGGAAGCAAAAATAAGATAAAAACAGAGAGGTAGGCAAACCATGAGAGATTCTTAAATACAGAGAACAAACTGAGAGTTGCTGGGAGGGAGGTGGGAGGGGGGATGGGCTAAACGGGTGATGGACATTAAGGCAGACACTTCTTGGGATGAGTGTTACATATGACTGTTATGTGTAAATGATAAATCACTAAATTCTACCCCTGAAGCCAATACTACACTATATGTTAAATAACCTGAATTTAAATTAAATAAAAAGAATTACAATTTTTTGGGGTGTCTATATAAGCTTAGTGATCTTAGGCGATTTCTTTTTTTTTAATGTTTATTTATTTATTTTGAGAGAGATAGTGTGTGAACACACATGTAACCAGGGGGACGGTAGAGAGAGAGGGAGAAAAAGAGAATCCCAAGCAGGCTTCATGCTGACTATCCCCTGCAATGCAATGCATGGCTCTATCCCATGAACCATGAGATCATGACCTGAGCTGAAATCAAGAGTAGGACTTTTAACCAACTGAGCCACCCAGGCACCCCAATCTTAAGCAATTTCTTAAACATCCTAATCCAATTTCTTTGTCTATAAAATGTGAAGTTAATTTAATCTATCAATATATTTATAATAATTATTTAAAATTATTTAAAAGTTAGCAAATATGCTAATTCCAAAAGACCACCTGTGAATTAGCTAGGATGATAGGTGTATCACTTTGACAGAGTCAGATTTTGATCTTTTTTTTTTTTTTTTTTCTTGATAGACTCTAGTTTCAGTTAGTTTGAATTTACCTGTGATTTCAGGGTGCCTGGGTGGCTCAGTCAGTTAAGCATCCAACTTCGGCTTAGGTCATGATCTCTGGTTTGTGAGTTCGAGCCCGTGTTAGGTTCTATGCTGACAGCTCAGAGCCTGGAGCCTGCTTTAGATTCTGTGTCTCCCTTTCTCTCTGTCCCTCCCCTACTGACAGTCTCTCTCCCTCTCTCTTTTTCTCTCTCCCTCAGATAAATAAAAATTAAAAAATATTTGAATCTACCTGTGATTTCAATGTATTGAGAAACATCTATGAGTGTGTTACAAGTCTAACCTATCACTCTGGTAGTGTTTAGGGATATAAGCATAAAATACCCCAAGTTATCTCTTTCTCTCTCTGTCTTTCCCTCTTTCTCTGACAGTCTGAGCTGAGTCATTCCATATATGGGTGTCCTTTTGATTCTACTGGGTTCTGACTACCTGAACTGGGCCTCTCTTTCATGTTGACCTTTTACTTACTCCATCAGGCCCCAAACATCCTGCTGGGCAGAACAAGCAGGGATTCCTTTCTGAACTCTGTTGGGTTGTTGAAACCTTTGCTGGGTGGCCCTTGAACAGAGCCACTCTCCTCATCCAGCTCAGGCTGTGGCACTGTACCAGGCAACTCACCTGTATTACATACAAATAGATGTTAGGTAATCACATAAAAAATAAAAGTACAATTATTATTCGCTAGCAATTTCAAGGGGATTTCTTTGAAAGGAAATATTTAAAATAAGATTATTGCTTTTGATAGAATGAAATTCTCAGTATTCCTTAAGAAGTGTTTATACAATTGATAGATATTTTTTCAGCAGTTGCTCATTACAGAATAAGTATACACTGATATGATTTTTGCCTTACCCAGACCAAATGACCTCTTTTTTAATAGAGACAGAGAGAGAGACACAGAGTGTGAGCAGGGGAGGGGCAGAGAGAGAGGGAGACACAGAATCTGAAGCAGGCTCCAGGCTCTGAGCTGTCAGCACAGAGCCCAGCGCAGGGCTTGAACCCAGGAGCTGTGAGATCATGACCTGAGCTGAAGTTGGACACCCAACCAACTGAGCCACCCAGGCACCCCACAAATGACCTCTTGAGTATATTTATCTTTCTTTTATCTTCCCTTACATTTCTGTACATTTAATATTAGCTGATATTTTATCCATAACTTTTCGATGTGTTATTAGTCAATGAAATGATACATAAATTCAAGTTCTCTTATATCCCTGTATTAAATCAAGTACTTAGACTATATTTTACTATTATTTAAAAATGTTAAATAAGTAATTACTTACTGCCTACTGTTTAAATTTATTTGACATTAGACTTCATACAGAGAACAGTGAGTTCTGCCATTGGGTGGATTTCAGAAATGAACAAATGATTATAGTGTAAAAGGAAAATAGCCATAACAGATAAAGTTCAGGACAGCATAAAGGAGGGAATAAGTAAGCGGGCAAACTTTGGAAGGATTTGTAGAAGATCTCACACTTGAATTGTGCTTAATAAGATTGCTAGGCTGTTACCATAGAAAGAGAAATGTGAGGATGGAGATGAAGTGGCATATGCTGTTGTCTTTAGGTGTAAAGAACATGATATAATTGGAGAAGTAATAGTGAATGTAAGACAGCATGTGCAAACATGGGAGAAACATGAGGAGGGAAAGAAGGGGAAATATGTACCTGAAAAATTAGGTTGGAGTCAGGTCAAGTCCTTGGGTAAAATAAAAAGCAGTAACAAACAAACAAAAACAAACACAAAAATTCAAGTAGTTCTCTCAAAAGGGAACCGAAAGATACATGTTTTATTTGTTCAGCAGACATACATACATATGGTCCATACATTAAAATGGTTTGAGATAAGATATTTCAACTTCATGATGATGTGAAAGTGATATGCATTCAGTAGAAACCACACTTTAAAATTTAAATTGTGGTCTTTTCCTGGGCTAGTAACATGTGGTATGATACTCTTGTTGCGCTAGGCAGTGGCAGTGGCCCCAGCTTCCAGTTTGAGCCACATGATCACAAGAATAAACAACTGATACACTCATAACTGTTTCATACCCATACAACCATTCTGTTTTTCAATTTCAGTACAGTGCTCAATACGTTATATGAAATATTCAACACTCTATTGCAAATAGGCTTTATATGAGATGGTTTTGACCAACTATAGGCTAATGTAAGCATTTGCACATTTTCAAGGTAAGCTATGATGTTCAGTAGATTAGGTGTATTAAAGACATTTTTGACTAATGATATTTTCAAATTTTGATGGGTTTATCAGGACATAACTCCATCAGTTGAAGAGAATCTGTACTGGATTTTCCTGGAAACATTTAATTACATCTTTTTTCTTATTCCTTAAATTTTACTCTTAGTACTTATACTAGTTGTGTCTACATTTTTGTAACAGTCATTTTCATAAAAAGGGAAAGCTAGATAATTATCTTGAAATTTCTTTCCAACTCCTAAATTCTGTGATCCTACATACAATCTTTATTTCTTTTGCTCTGTTTGAAATAAAAGCCTTTTCCTCAAATATATGAGTTTATTTGGTGCATGAACTCGAAGATGTAAGTTTTTCATCCTTTTCTCCAGAACCAGTGTCTACTCATCAATTTTCTCAAAGCTCCAAGCACCTCTGTGTTCCTCAGGCTATATATGATAGGATTGAGCATGGGAGTGACTACTCCATAGAACAGAGCAATCAATTTGTCAATAGCAGAGTCTTTGGACTTTGGCTTCATATATATGAAGAGGATTGTCCCATAAAACATGGTCACTACTGTTAAGTGGGCTGAACAGGTAGAAAAAGCTTTTTTTCTTCCTTCTGCTGAATTCATTTTTAGTACAGTAGATAGGATGAAAATGTAGGAGATGCAAATTAACAATAATGGAATATACAAAAATATTACATTGCCCAACATTATAGCAATCTCATTCAAGGAAATATCTGCACAAGCCAGCTTGACAAAAGCCATTATTTCACAAACAAAGTGGTTAATGACATTTTTTCCACAAAAGGGCAACCGTATTGCAAGAATAGTTTCTGTCAGTGAATTGAGAAAGCCCATTCCCCAGGAGAGGGCTGCCATCTGAATACAAAGTGCCTTGCTCATGATGATGGGGTATCTCAGAGGGTTACAGATAGCTACGTAACGGTCATATGCCATCACTGCTAAGAGCACGCATTCTGTGCATGCCATAGTGTAGGAGACAGACATCTGAACAACACACCTAGTGAAGGAGATGGTTTTTTTCTTTGATAGGAAGTGAATCAACACTGAGGGGGTAAAGGAGGATGTGTAACAAATGTCTAGGAGGGAAAGATTACCAAGGAAGAAGTACATGGGCGTATGGAGGCGGGAATCCAGGAGAATTAGTATGATCAAGGTGCTGTTCCCCAGCAGGATCACCAGGTACATCATCAAGCACATGACGAAAAGGAGTTTTTCCACTTTGGGGTACTCAGAAAGTCCCTGCAGAATGAACTCAATCTCTGTCCAGTTCGTCCTGTCCATTTTATTTTTCTATACCTGGAGTAATCCAGAAGAGAAAACTGCATGTGAGCATAACGCGTCAGTGCATATTACCATGTGCAGTGAGAGATCGCTGGGGGAGGGGCACCAAGTGTGTCCACACTAGCTGGAGTGGTGCTAAGAGCTCTGAGTTTAGCGTTTTGAATTTCTCTTCTGGTACATATAGGAAGGGATTGAAGACGTGTAATAATTACATTGACCAGCTCTTTAAAAATATAGGCTCTTGTATTCCATTTCCTGAGATAGTAATACACAGTTCTGAGGCAGGAAAGAACTATTTGCATCTTAACAAACATCTGTTATTTCCTATTCTTTGGACCCACAGCCTACATTTTGAATATCATCATTTTGGAGAGAGTATGCTTCATCTTTTATAAATAACTATGTATTTGATTTTATTTCATGGAAGTCATAAACAATATTATTAGTGCAGGGTTTTATAATTTAATATATTCACACATATTACTCATTTTATCATCACTATAATTCTCTGAGGAAAGTGAAATTCATAGAGGTAAAATGTATATAAAAACAGAGTGTGATCCACTATTCCAATTTATTTTCTAACTTTATAGCACCTGCCAGTTTAAAAAAATATTTTTTAATGTTTATTTTTGAGAGAGAGAGGGAGAGCACGCGCACATGAGTTGGGGAGGGTCAGAGAAAGAGAGGGAGACACAGAATGTGAATCAGGCTTCAGGCTCTGAGCTGTCAGTACAGAGCCCGTGGGGCTTAAACTCTCAAACCGTGAGATCATGACCTGAGCTGAAGTCAGACGCTTAACTGACTGAGCCACCCAGGCACCCCAACACCTGCCAGTTTTACTTATTTTATTTTATCTATATATTAAAAAATTCTTTTTAATGTTTATTTTTGAGAGAGAGAGAGAGAGATAGAGGGTGAATGGGGGAGGGGCAGAGAGGGAGGGAGACACAGAATCTGAAACAGTCTTCAGGCTCTGAGCTGTCAGCACAGAACCCGACATAGGGCTGGATCCCATGAACTGCGAGATCATGACGGAGCGAGGTCGGGTGCTTAACCAGCTGAACCACCCAGGCACCCTGTATTTTTATTTTTTTTAATGTTTATTTTTGAGAGAGAGCACTAGTGGAGGAGGGGCAGAAGGGGAAGGAAACAGGATCCAAAGTGGGCTCTGGGGTGACAGCAGAAAGCCAGATTTGGGGCTCAAACAAGTTGCCAAGATCCTTACCTGAGCCGAAGTCAAAAGTTTATCCAACTGAGCTACCCAGGTGCCCCTCACCTGCCTTTTTTATTTTATTTTATTTTTAACGTTTTATTTATTTTTGGGACAGAGAGAGACAGAGCATGAACGGGGTAGGGGCAGAGAGAGAGGGAGACACAGAATCAGAAGCAGGCTCCAGGCTCTGAGCCATCAGGCCAGAGCCCGACGCGGGGCTGGAACTCACGGACCGCGAGATCATGACCTGAGCTGAAGTCGGACGCTTAACCAACTGAGCCACCCAGGCGCCCCTCACCTGCCTTTTTTAAACAACATGCTCTTGCCCTCTCAGAATTATGTGAATTATCTAAGGAGTGGGAATCAGACATCTTTCTAAATAATGTTCTCCAGATGATTCTAATGTGCCTTGTGGAAAAAAAACCACCTGTCTAGTCAAGTGCCTCCAAATTTTAGTACACACAAAATTCGGATAGGAGAATCTTTATAAGGGATTCTGAATCAGTGGGTCTGAATTGGATTCTAAGATCTGAATTTATTAACATGTTTCCAGATGCTGTTTATGTCTGCAGAACTCACATGAGTAGCAAGGCCTTTAGACCATTTCTCTCCAATGCTATTGCAGAATTCCACTACTGCTTCCCTTGTATGTAGGACTGTAATCGAATAGTAGACAATGCAAAACTGAACATTCTCTGACACTTGGAGTTGAGACATCTGTGTGAGTGTATTACACTCAGTTTTGTGTTCTTTAGATTTTAGATATACAAGCAACCAAACTACATACAACAGAGTCTGTTGTTTCTGTCCATATTAAAGTCCTTTCTCTTCCATTTGTTGAATTTGCAATTATGGTAAATATTTTCCAAAAGAGGAATTTGAGGTCAGCTCAAGCATCTGAATTGTGCATCATAGAGCATGGAACAAATAACTTTAATTTGAAAAAAATTAAAGAGTAGATATTAGTAGCTGACTTTTTACAGTAAATAAATCAAAGAACATAATTTTGAAAACACTTTTCATTCTCAAGGTATTCTACCTAACTTAAAAAAATCCCTAGAGGAAAAAAAATTTGATCCAATCGATAATTTTCTTACTAGTGTTTTTTTTTTTTTTCAACGTTTATTTATTTTTGGGACAGAGAGAGACAGAGCATGAACAGGGGAGTGGCAGAGAGAGAGGGAGACACAGAATCAGAAACAGGCTCCAGGCTCTGAGCCATCAGCCCAGAGCCCGACGTGGGGCTCGAACTCACGGACCGCGAGATCATGACCTGGCTGAAGTCGGACGCTTAACCGACTGCACCACCCAGGCGCCCCTTACTAGTGCTTTTAAAAAAATGTTTATTTATTTTGAGTGAGATGGAGAGGGGGTGTGAGTGAGGTAGGGCAGAGAGAGAAAGAGAGAATCCGAAGCACCCTCTACACTATTAGCACAGAGCCTGAAGTGGGGCTCCATCTCATGAACCATGAGATAATGACCTGAGCCAAAATTAAGAGTCTGAGTCTCGACTGACTGAACCAACAGGTGCCCCTCTAGTTAGTATTTTTAAACAGGGCTATGTGGTACGTCTGAGTGTCCCAGTTAAGCATCCTTCTCTTGGTTTCAGCTCCAGTCATGATCTCACAGTTGGTGGCATCGAGCCCTGTGTCAGCCTTTGTGCTGACATAGAAGAGCCTGCTTGGGATCCTGTCTCTCCCTCTCTGACCCTTCCCCCACACTCTCTCTCTCTGTCAAATAAACATTAAAAAAATTAAAGAAGGCCCTGTTTCTGATATAGGCTTTGCCGTTTCTTTCTGTGATCACCTTTTGCCAACAGGTTATGCTCCTTTCTATGACAACTCCAGTTTACAATGGCAAATCATGTTAATCAGCATAATACAATATTTATATGCCTATTGGCTATGGAAAGAAGGGTTATCATGCAATTCAAGCTGTACCAGGCTTTGCAGGCATACATTACAAAGAGGGTAGGAAGGGTTGGGTAGGGCAGGATATACTTCTATTTGGTATTAAGTTTGGAATTTGATTGACTGTAGATATATATATGTAGATATATATATATATATATATATATATATATATATATATAGATATCAACCTACTCTGAACCTGAAAATAAAATTTTGATAGAGTCTTTGAAGGAGCATCAGTTGTCTTGGATCTGTTGTTTCAGGGAAGATGTGAATCATGTCAGATGCCCTCTCCCTTCTTTCCTAGGAACATCACCAAGAAGGTGATTCCTATTTGGAAATGACTTATAGCAAATAATGATGGTGTACATCTGGTATACTGATACTTCAGAGACAGTTGCTGCAAAAAAAAAAAAAAATCACTTGCAAACATTTATAAGAGAAACCAACAATGTGCTTTAGTGGTTTCAAATGGTGGTGGTGATGGGGGAGGAATAGTGGACAGTAAGAGGAAATTACTTTCATTACTCGTTTAATATTAGTGCAACTTTTTTTTTTAATTTTTTTTCAATG